GTAGGCATGTTGCATATTCTTACATCATGTTGTCTTAGGGTCATGTGTCCTATAGCCACGTCACAGTATTGTGTGGTCACACGGTTGTGTTGTCACGTGGGCCTGTTGTGTTTTCTCACAGTCATGTTGTCCTGGGTGTCACAGTCATGTCACACTTGTCACACTGTGGTGTTGTCATGTGGTGTGTTGTGTTGTCCTGGGTCACAGAGTCACAGTCATGTCATGTCACACTGTGGTGTTGTCATGTGGTGTGTATGTTGTCTCACGGTCACGCCCTGGGTCATGGTGTCACAGTCATGTCATGTCACACTGTGGTGTTGTCACGTGGTGTGGTGTGTTGTCCTGGGTCACAGAGTCACAGTCATGTCATGTCACACTGTGGTGTTGTCACGTGGTGTGTTGTGTTGTCCTGGGTCACAGAGTCACAGTCATGTCATGTCACACTGTGGTGTTGTCACGTGGTGTGCGTGTTGTCTCACAGTCACGCCCTGGGTCATGGTGTCACACGGTTGTGTTCTGTCAAGTGCTTGCATGCGTGAGTGGCTATTCACATAATCTTGACTAAGCGTCATCGTTTCGTGCCCTCTGCTGTGTGAGAAGTGCTAGCAAGGCCGCCGGGTACCATGGCTGGGCAGTGGCCGTGGCGGCCTGGCAGACCTGCTATTGTCTAGAGCTCCTGTTGACGCGTGGCTGGACGCGGTGCCTCCAGGTGGCTGCTGACATGGAGCCTTTCTTGATGAGCACAGCAGAGGATCCTGCCATGTGCTCGGAGACTTGGAAGAGGAAAGACGTTGGCGGTTTTCTCCCGTCTCTTAGTCACTGTCACAGCTGGAGGGAGGCAGAGGAGGACAGAGGACGGGGGAGGCAGCAAATTAATGCAATTGTCACAGCAGCCTGGTGCTGGGCCTCACATGGAGGCACCCCCACAGGCCTCCCCGCACCAGGCCTCCCAGCGCCAGCCCTCATCCCGCTGTCCCTCCGCAGCCTGTGCTGCACGGCCCACGGCAAACGCCGCCCACGCCCGGGCCTGTCCCCGCATGGCTTCCTATAGAAGGAGCACAGACGCTCTTTGCATTCATGGGTGAGTTAGAACCAGCCTCAGGAAAGCAGGACCCGTCCCCAGCAATGCTGAGCTCGGCCTCGCCCTGAGGAGCTCTGGCCAAGGGCCCGGGCTGTGTCCACCACGCACGGCTGCAGCAGCTGAGCGGTTCCTGTGCGTGCCGTTCCTTCCCGGGGCTCCAGGAGAGCTGCCGGGGCTCCTTTATCTCCCGGCTCCTTCGGCTGCTGCTGCGCGCCCCTCCCCGGGCTGGTGCGAGGAGGGAAGGCGGTTACTGCAGAGGCCGACTCCATGCAGAAGCCAGAGAGAGTGTGCTCGGCTTCCCAGACCTCAAAGCTGCCTCTCCAAAAATATGTGCAGACATTTAAAGTGGCCTCCGTAGATAACTTGCTCTATGAATTTGCACAGGAGATGCTGCAGTTTCCTCTTTTCTAGGAGATTAACACAAGACGCCTTGTGTCAGAAAACACTGGGCTGGGCTTTTGCTGTTCACGTCTGGAGCTTGGGGAAGGAGCCGGTTCTCACTGGGCCGCACGTGGTGCAGGTACGGGTTCACCTACACAAAACCATCAGGCAGGTTTCTCCATCTGTGTCAATTAGCACAGATCAGTGCAGGCTTCTCCTAATTTAAATGAGACTCAGCACTAATGATGATGGATCCACAGTGTATCGAGGTTAATTCTCTACATTGTGAATATTTTTTTAACGGGTGTTCCTTGGGGAAGAATTCGCTGAAAGGGTCCATGCTGCTGTTAGTAACTTGCTGTGTGTTCAGCTTGCTGGGTGATTTTAAACATATGTGACCTGTGACGAAGATGAACTCTGGGGAAAGCCTTGAATCTGTGGTCAGTTTCGACGCACATTTTGGTTCGCGTTGGACAAGAGGTGCGGAACCACCGTTGTGATCCACATCCGAGTGAGCTGCCCATGAGGCTTCCAGTCCCTCCTGGGGGCACGGGGTGGGGACAGCCACGGCCGGGGGGCCGATTTGAACCTGGTGTGCCTGCAGGCTCCGCGCTGAGGGCTGGTCACAGATCCCAGCCTTGCGGGTCTCAGTCGGCCTCTCCCTTCCCTGAAATCAGTGCCTCCTACAGGCACCGTGGTGAAGCCAGCGTCTGCCCTGCTCTGGGGGAAGCCGGGGCACATCCGGGAGTCCGCTCCGTCCCCATCGTGTGGCCTCGGATGGGTCCATCGAGGCCTCATGGTCTCCTCCACATGGGAGGCCGGAGTGGATCCCACAGTTCCTGACACCTGTGTTCACTCCGTGTTCCTGAGTGTCCTGCCGAGGTCTCGGTGGTCACATTTAGGAACATCTTGATGAGATAAGATGAAGTGGGCTCCGATGTCGTGGGCCTCCTCGGAGCCTCTAGCTTGGGAGTGGCTCTCATGAACGTACCGTGGGGGGCGATAATTGGCAGCACTGACTTTTTGTTTGGGGAAAATAAAGCGATCTATGGCTTAAGATGGCTTCTCGCATCTTGACTCTAAAATAGACTTTCAGGGCCTCGTGCTCTTATTTAAAGCAGTTTTTTGTCCGTATGACTCAGTGGCGTCCTTCCCGGGAGCCTCCTGCCTTAGCTCTTCTCAGGACGAGATGAAAAATCCCTTTTGGGTTTCGGGGGCCGAGTGAGTGTGCAGAGTTTTGACTTTTGGATTTTAGCTTCCCTGGCCCATGCGGTTCACTGCATTCCCGCAAAGCCTGCTCCTGACTTTTCCTCCATGGGCCTCACTCTCCGGCCCTCTGGTCCTACTTCTCCTGTCCGGGTGCTGTGTGTGTCATCTCCTGCCCGGGCACTGTGTGTGTGTGGCCCGTGCCTCCTGCAGTCAGATGCCAGCATGGAGAGTCTCGCCTTGGAGACCGAGGGGAAACTGACTGTGGGCCCTCTGTTCCCCAGCGAGAGGCCTCTGCTTCCCACTTTCTGCAGAATTTGTGAAGGGGTGGTGCCCGCATTTCCAGGTTAACTAAACCTGAGGGTCTGCTTCAGTGATGGCAACGATGGGATGGCCTGAGCCTGAGCTGGCTGCCCCATGTCCCCTGGGTGACAGGAGCCCTGCCTCCCTCCACAGGCTTTGCGGATGGTGATGGCTGGGACGGAGGTGGCCCCGTGCGTGGACCATGGCCTGTCCCATTCCTCTCATGCGGAGCAGTGTGGCCCTGGGCCCAGGGCTCCTGCATCCGAGGGCTGCTCCTTCAGGTCCTGCCCTGCGGCCCCCACGTCTTCTCTCCCCTCCCCTCCACCGGTGCCCGTGAAGGCAGGTGCAGTCAGAAGGGTCCACCCCGAGGCGTGTGGCTCTGTCTCCCCGAAGTCGGGAGAGCTCAGTAGAGCTCAGTCACAGTTTTAAAGGACAATTCCTGTTCTATCCTTTCCACCAGAACCCTCTCCCACTCGCCCACAGAGCCCGACCGGCCCCAAACACGCGGGCCCCGCGTGGGCTCTGTACCCGCCCCGCCCAGCCACCAAGGTCACTTTCCAGAGGAACCATGAAAGCCTGTGAGGCTCTGCCTCAAAATCCCTTGTTGCCTCCTAATTTTTATTTTGAACAACACCTCAACTCCCTTTTCAATGTTCCGCTCCCGCCTGAACGCCCTCTGCTCACCTCCCTGCCTGCCCCCCACCCCACCCCATCCCTCCGGGCAGATGCTGCTGCTGTCCCCTGCCTGTCCCCTGCCTGTCCACCTTGTCCATGCCCTTCCTGGGACGTCTGTGCTCCCTCCCCAGATTCCTATTTAAAATCCTGCTTGTCCTTCAAGGCTCAGGCCAGATGGCATCACGTGGCGTCTCCTCTATGGGCCCTGGGCTGTCACATGGGATGGCAGAGTGTGTGCCTCTGTGGCTGGTGCAGAGGAGCCAGTGTCTTTCTGAGGGCCTGTGCAGGCCAGCGCTGTCCCTGCAGCCTTAATATCTGACACACCTGCTCATTCCCCTCCCACCCTTGTGGGCTCAGGGTCCTCGACACTAGTTCAGGGCTGGGGGTTAGGTCACCTGCCTGCATGTTCTCAGGAAAGTGGATGGAAGCTGGCTTTGAACCCGGGCCCACCCAGCCCCCAAGGCTGAATTCTTTCCCACGAAGATCTTGCACTTGTGTTTCTGTGCACTTGCTACAGCTTCCTTGTGTGAGGATCAGCTGTAGATGCTCCCAAAGCGTCTGTGTCTGTTCTGCAGACAGAGCCAAGTTCATAGTCACTCAGGGACCTACGTACGGGGGACTCAGTCCGTACCCATGGATTTCAGTGTTTTCCTGAAAGATAATACACATTTGCTCATAACTTGTGCCTGAAAGGAGATGTAACGGAGCTGTAGCCAAAGTCAAGGTTTCAATATTGCAACTGGGATAAAATATACCATTCTTGTTTCATCTAAGTAATTTGTGTTCAGCCATATACAGTTAAAAAACTATATATGCTGTGTGCATATGACAGAGAGGTTGTTATTACCAAACACCACATGTTCTCACACATAAGTGGGAGTTGAACAGTGAGAACACATGGACACAGAGGGGAACATCACACACCAGGGCCTGTTGGGGGGTGGGGAGGGGTGGCGAGTGGGGAGGGGAGAGCATTAGAACAAATAACGTATTGCATGCGGAGCTTAAAACCTAGATGATGGATTGATGGGTGCAGCAAACCACCATGGCACATGTATACCTGTGTAACAAACCTGCATGTTCTGCACATGTCTCCCAGAACTTAAAAAAAAAGTTTTTTTTTAATTCTCAAAAGTAAAAATGTAATCTGTAAAACATTTGCCAAGGGAAGCTTTTGAAATAAAAGTTGCTGGCGTGCAAGGTCAGAGCTGGCTTTGTTTACGGAGGGTCCACCGGCTCTGGTGGTTGAGTGGCATCATCTCAAAGTTGTACTTTTGTTGTTGCTGCTGTTGAATCTTTAACTGCATGGTTGAGACCCTGTGGGTGTAACCGCTTCTCTCTGTCTCTGTTTCAGAGTCGCAGTGCACGCTCTGCGGGGAGCCGGAAGGTGAGTATCTGACATGCTGCCTGGGGTGGGCGGGGGCCGCGCGGCTCACAGGTGTGTGGCTGGTGACAATCTGCCATGAAACGTGTTGAGAACCTTGAACACTGAGGACCCTTTCTGTGTGCTGTTTGATATGAACGTGAATCAAATAATGGAAGCAAAGTGCAGGGTGAGCGTTAGGACTGAGCCGCTCATCTCTGAAGAAGAACTGGCTTTACCATCAAATTGCAATATTGTCTTTATTTTTTTTTGTTCTGGATCGATAAATTTCCGTCAGTCTCTGCAAGGTAACAGAGGCGGATACAGGCTTATTGGCTTTAAGTGCATGAACCCAAGATGCCAATGAGCCTTGGCTGAGTCGGATCTGGGAAGCCGTTCCCGATTGTCGGTGGCTCAGCCTGAGAGCGTGTGGGGCCTTTGCTGGCCATGAGTGACGTTCACCAGTGTTGCTTATTTCACTTTCCGCGCAAGTCTCATGTGTTTTAAACACGCGGCAAAGCGGGGCCCTTGAGTCTGTCATTTGTTGACTATTTGGAATGGAATTAGTGAAAGCCAGCATTGATGTAATATTTTTCGATGGTCTAATTGGAAAGAATAAGGAAAATGTGGTAAACGCCTGACCCCTATTAATGGGGACTCTGAATTAACTGGAGCTTTGATTTCGAGGTCTGTTTTCAGCAGAAAGAGGCAAATTGGCTAGAAAACGAGTCAGCCTCGGGGAACACGGGACGCTGCCAACCCCAGGGGTGTGCCTTTGGGTCAGAGCCCAGCCCAGCTCTGCTCCCACAGGTGAGACGATCCCAACCCGTGACTCCGAGAGCTGAATGTTAAAGGCTTCTGTACACTTGCGGCCACAGAAGCTCAGTCACATCCACTGGAAAGGCTCTGACCCGCAATTTAAAAAATAAAATAAAGTGAGTACAGGGTTAACTTGGAACTTCTGTCAAACACTCAATTCCCTCATTTGGTGGTTAAGGGAAATATGACAAGGCTTTTAAAACTTTTTCCTGTGTCATTTAGTAGGCATGGAATGCACAGATATATCCACGATAAAGTCAGTTACTGTGTATTTTAAAATCTTAAGCTTCACTTTTATGCAAAACATCAGACTTTGAATCCCTGGCATTTCCAGAGTCAAAAGTAATGTGATGTTTTAGAGTCAGTTGGTTGGGGTTGTTCCCAGGTGGAGCCTGGGATGCTGGTCTGGGTGTGGCAGAGGCCTCCTGTGATGGGGATGCTGGTCTGGGTGTGGCAGGGGCCTCTCGTGATGGGGATGCTGGTCTGGGTGTGGCAGGGGCCTCCCGTGATGGGGATGCTGGTCTGGGTGTGGCAGGGGCCTCCCGTGATGGGGATGCTGGTCTGGGTGTGGCAGGGGCCTCCCGTGATGGGGATGCTGGTCTGGGTGTGGCAGGGGCCTCCCGTGATGGGGATGCTGGTCTGGGTGTGGCAGGGGCCTCCCGTGATGGGGAAGCCGCAGGTCCTTTCTCCTGGAGACGCCAAGGCTGCTGCAGAGGATCATGAAATTCTGCAGCCTGTCTGTTGGGTGTTTGAAAGCTTTGTTATTTCTTATCATTATACTTCCGTTGCCATTCCCACTATGGAAAGCATATCATGCTTTGAGTTCATTTTTCATTCTCTTTCCCCCAACCCCCTATCGAGAGTTTTCAGTGTGTGAGAGAAACTGTGAAATATAAAACCTTGTAAATAGTGGTTTAAACACATTGCATCTTGCTTTTCATCTACTTGTTTCTAATAACAAATGTCTGCCTCTGCCAAGAACAGTGGCCCGTGTGGGGTGTGTTTTGTTGTCGTGTGCCACTTAGCATTGTCATGAAAAGAAGAGTTTGGTCCCAATAAGTCAGAATCAGTGATGTTTGGACCGAATGAAGGCTGGTAAATCACCCCAGAGTCCTGGCTCAGGGATGGATGTTGGATGATTTCTGGGATTGACTCTAGAAGGGACCTTGGCTCGCCCAGGCTGACTTGAGACTACCAGAGTCGTCCGGAGCATGAGGAGGTGGGCTGGCTCCCTCGGGGCACTCCAGCCTCAGGTCTGTGGCCTTTCAGGCCCGGCACCACCAGACGTCAGACCAGAGTGTGCGGTCCTGGACAATCTCAGGGTCGCTCCCCCTGGTCACCTACCTTGGATCGACCTCCACACCACACATACTGTCAGCTCATAGCAAATGTGTGACAGTGGGGTGGGGACGGGGAGAGACCTGCTCCTTGCTGCTCTAGGGGCCGGTCAGCTTCCGGATATTTAAAACGAGACAGACTGGGACGGCAGGTCAGCTTCCAAATGTTTAAAACGAGACAGACTGGACTCCAAATAAGAAGAGTCCCACTGTCCGGTGGGGAGCCCCACAGAAGTCGGGGGGCTCTCCAGCCAAGGGTGGCGGGGGAGGGGCTGGGCAGTGGGGACTGGGGGTGGGGCTCACTGCTCTGGCCTGCCCCTCCCCACTGGGCCGCAGTTCTCTGAAGCTGCCCGGGTGTTTCAGACGTGTGAGTGCGGTTGCTCCAGATCAGGGAGGAGGACGGGCTCATGGCGAGGTCTCAGCTGTGTTTTAGTTTTTGCAAAGCACTGTCATATGAATATTCATACATTTTTAAAATCATTTAAGTAATTAGTCTAAGTGAGAACTGGCTGGGCGCGGAGAGTGGAATCTGAAATCAGCCTTTTTGTTCGATAATTTCTTAGGCAGCTTCTGTGAGTTAACTCACAAATGTCGTGGCACAGTAATGACCAGCCAGAGGCTGGCGGCAGCACGGGCGGCTTGGACGTGGGTGTGCAGCACTCATTACATCCAGAAGGTGAAGGCACCACTCATTTAGCGTCTCTCTTTCTTGTCAGAAAGCTGTTAACAGCCTTCGGTGGCTAAGCCAGTGAAGTGGGAAACACCTATTTGCATTTTAATGATTAGTTCTTTCAGTGAGACCTAGTTCTTTGGATCCAGATTGAATAATTAGCCTGGTCTCAGATGATAATATCTGTCAAACAAACGCGACCCGGGACAAAGTTTACAGGATGCTGGAGACCTCAGAATTCTACAGCTGGGGAGGCCCTGCAATGGTGTGGCCTATTTTTCAGAGAACTTAAAATTTTAATTACATATAAAATGTAGACCATGATCTCAATACGCAAATTACTTACATGTTCTGTGTTACAAGATTTTGAAACTTGTGAGACTATGTTTTCATGAGATAAAAATGTTTAATAGATTGATTGTTATTTATTGGTACCTTTGTTCCTACCAAGAATAATCTCAGGACAATCTCAGGGTCGCTCCCCCTGGTCACCTACCTTGGCTCGACCTCCACACCACACATACTGTCAGCTCACAGCAAATGTGTGACAGTGGGGTGGGGACGGGGAGAGACCTGCTCCTTGCTGCTCTAGGGGCCGGTCAGCTTCCGGATATTTAAAACGAGACAGACTGGGACAGCCCAACTCTAAATCCTTGAAATGCAGCGTGGCGTGAAAATGGAGCAGCAGTTTGCTTAATGAGGGTCTCGATGCCTTTAACAGGAGTGCAGTTTCTGCAGGTTCTGCTTTCAGAGACCTCTGCTAATAATAATCATAAATTTACTAAGAACAATCTCAGTTGTCATAATAATCTGCCAATTTAATACTAAGATGGTCTCAATTTGTATCATTTTCTTAGTGATTCCTGTTACCTTTTAGCTAAAGGCAGTAACCACATACTATAGAGCGATAAGATGGCAGACTGGTTTATCTTGACACAACAAAAATTCGTGTGTCATATAATCTGTCAGTTTAATATAGGAAAATAAGAGTACATGATTCTTTTTAAACTTTATTGACAGATGCATGACACTACTTGCTTTTCAACTAGAACACGGGAAAATTTATGGACATTGGGTGGGGTCACAGATGTCAGTTCATGGATTTGTCTGTTGGTTTACATTTTTATGGTTTGATTTGTTACCATAGCAGATAGATTTTCCGAGGTAGGAAGACAGATAATGATGCCTGGTGGGGCCGGGAGAACGTATCTGAAATCCACAGCGATGGAATAACAGTGTCTTAGATCTGTGTTATTTGCCCCCATTAAAACTAAGAAATAAAATAAGCTATTAGTATTACTATATAAATGTAGCATGAGAAAATGCTACAAAAATGTTGGGATACATTGACATGAAAGATTCTTTAGCAATAGAGGCCTTAAGATTGGAATTTTAAGACACAATAGATGATTTGTGATGGCAGAAATATATATATTGGATTATTTGGGTAATGTTTTAGAAATTCCAGGCTAAAAGCAAAATTCAAGTCTTAAACTAAGTAGTTTAAGGTACGAGATTTTCTTTCTAAATCTGTTTTCATTTTTGTTGTTTTTACTTTGGTTATTGGAAAACACAATCTGCATGCTGCCCTGGGAATTCTGGGAAGACGAACAGAATCTTGTATTTGAGCATTTTGGGAAGACGAACAGAATCTTATATTTTATCACAGGTAGGAGGAACCCAGGCCATCTCTTCTCCCTTCATAACTCATAATCAAGATATTGGGAAAGTTTTCCTGAAGTTAGTAGCATGAAGTTCTTGATTTTTAAATGTAAGATATTCAAGATTTTCCCCACAAGTGACTCAAAACAATGAGGTCTCGTTAGTGGTTTTTTGTTTTTAACCTTAATTGAACGTGTGTCGTCTTGACGTTTCAAGACCTCTTAACAATTCTGGGGTTCTTGAAATTGCATATTGAAGAGCTTAGAAAGTACCCCCAGCCCTGTTCCCTGCTCTCTGTGGAGGGGAAGGGCACCACCTCTTCAAAGAGGGCTGCCACCCCGTCTCTCTGAGACCATACCTTTTTAATTGAATGCTTTGTATAAAAATGGTCTTTTCTAATTGCTATTTGTGGTTTTCAGTGATTATTGTTGCTTAAGAACTAAAAAGTTCAACTAAGATTTGAAGGAAAACAGACTCAGCTCCAGCCAGTCTGTCTTCTAGGACGTTAATATGGTTAGGGTTTTAGTGGAAGTCAG